AACCCTATTAGCATAAATTTGTATTTGTTCAAAACCTTTTTAAAATCAGTTAAAAATAAAATAATTTGTATTTCAGGAGCAAATTCCCTTTAGATATGACTCAAAATTGGAAAACTGGGCCAGGAAAACTGGAGTTCAGAGCATACGAAAAAGTGAAAGTAAGTATACTTTTTTAGATCAATAACACAAAATAAAGTGGTTTATTAAAATCGCTAAATATAATAACTATGTCCAGATTCATGTTTGTTTTTTGTGTCGCCATTAATCAATGGCAATGCCCACTAGAGAATTACGAAGAATGTGTCATTTGGTTTAATGGTAAAAGTCATTTTAGTTTAATGGTAAAATTCATTTTGGTTTAATGGTAAACCGAGATGAGTCAAATATGCTGAAACCATAATAAACCACGATAATGTTGTTGGTGGTTTTAAGGGTTGTTGACTTTGATGTATGTAAATAACTACTAGTTGCAGTATTTACTCAATCTTGATTGAATAGTAACAAAACCAATACATGTTATACTTTTTTTAATGTTACACTTCATTAAAGTCCATGATCACCATCAATCGATTTAATAACTAAACAATTGAGTGTGTCTCAGGTTTTTTTTATTTTTAGGTTACCTGTACTTTCCAAATCACTCCTCATGTTTGTCAGACTCATAAGATGATGGTTATGTTTATTTTTAGCACGTTTCTAATGTTCAGTTGAAATAATTTTAACATTGAGACGGTCTAGCTTAAAATTATATAGCTATACTTATTAATATTATGTAGCTATACATGTTGAATATAGAATATTATATGACTTCAACAACCCAAACTAACAAAACAATTATTGTTCCTTACATAAGTATTTAAATGAAGAATATAAATCTTTATCGCCCACTTATGGAGTAGGTGTGTAGCTAAAACTGCAATTACTTCATAAAAAGTAACTAAAATAACTGTTGTCTAGGTTAAAGTGTAAATTTACTTTTAAAATAATCTTGTGTATTTTTACTTTCTCCCCCTATACCATAGTATATGGAGAAAGTATTGTTTTCGTAAAATTTCAAAGTGATGTCTGTGTGTGTGTGTGTGGATGTGTACAGAGCTAGGGACTACACCTGTGGTCCGACTTCGATGAAATTTGGTATGTAGGTTCTAATCCATGGTATCTCCAGGCGATTTTTTTCTTTTTTTTGAATTTTTTATTTTTAATGGGAATTTTCTCATAAAAACCCATAAAAAACAGAAAAAATTGAATTTTCTCAAAAATGGCCTGAACGATTTTGATAAAGATTTAGTATGTTGTAGCCCATTAAATTCTGAACAAAATGGTACAAATCCTATTTCTGTAAAAATTACGGTTCAAAAGTTATAGTAAATTATGTTATTTTCCCATAAAAAAAACCCATAAAATAACAAAAAATAGGATTATCGAAACAAATCCGGTTTTGATTTAACATAGTATGTTATGGTCCTTACCATTTTGATAGTTTTTTATTTTTTAGAAATGTAGATTTTTAATGGGGATTTTCCCATAAAACCCCATAAAATAACAGAAAAATAGGATTTTCCCAAAAATGGCAAGAACGATTTTGATAAAAATTTTGTATGTTATAGTCCTTTAAATTCTGAACAAAGTTGTACAAATCCCATTTCCGTATATTTACTCCCACTGCTTACACATGATAAAGGTCGTTTACAAACTTATGGGAGAAAGTATGTGTCTGAATGCTGATACCGTTTATTTTAGTACAGGTAAAATAATACAAAAACACTCCATATAAACAACAAAATTTGTACATTCATGAAATTTCACCTGTGAGTTACTAATAATATGAGAAATGAAGATCCGATGAGTCCCCAAAATTTTGGGCGTCCTAAGGCCCTTTTTGGGGCCCTTTTTGTTCCGAAGGGCCCTTGTTCCTGAATAATTTTGTTTTTACGTTTAAGGTCAAGTGAGGTGTGGTTTTCGATGGTTTTAGTTATTTTAAATCGATTGGGAGTAGTTTTAAGTGTATTAAACCACACCATACAGGGTGTTTCGAAATATTATTACTTTTTATGATATTTAAACATTTATTCATAAAGTAATAAAATTAGTTACCTCCATGCTCTATATAAAAGGGGATAACTGTAATTCTTTACTATATAAGAGGGAAGGATCACAAGGAGTAAGAGAAAATATTAAATACCCCCGTCACAGCAAACCTGCAGACTAAGCGAATTTTCATTTGCCCGATTTTCAATTAAATCTAAAATTGCATTGAGTTTAATGAATATTTAGGTTTGCTGCTACAAGGAGGCGAATAAAAGTGTGTTTATAGTAAAATATTAATAGCCTAGTATAAAACAAATAAATTTGACAAGTTTGTTCAAAATATATCTATTAACAAACAAACAAAATCATTTTACACTATTCTCCTTAAGAATAACATGGAATTTTAAATTTACAATTTTTGAATTTTATCCGTAACTAATACACTTACAAAACACGTTAATATACTAAATTATTTGTTTTCTTTAAGCTCTTTAAAATGCTCTAGAGAAAAATTGGGAAACTTTGTCTTTTGAGGGTAAAGTAAATAAGAAAACCCAATTTTTACCCCATAAACCTAATTCCCATTGTTCAGGACAAAAATGCTTGTACCGACAATGCTGCTCTGGTGTCTTAGTGCTGTTCTGGTCGTCATAACCACGAAAGATAACCGTACTTGTATTGATTGAAAATAAGTTTGAGGAACTTAAGATACAAGTTGCAAACGTCAGTATGTATGAAATGTGTTTTTGCACCACATTGTTCGTGCTTTAAGATTGGTGTTGCCTGATCTGCAATATGCAAGGTTTTAGGTTTGTAAAAAGGGGAATCCTGCTTGAACACCAACTTGGACAAAATCAGTAAAAATGGACAAGTTGCTAAGAATAATAAAATTGTTAATGAGTCGTCTGAGAATAATTATTGTGATGATAAAATTGTAAAGACAGATACTACGGAAATTGTATAAAAATAGCTTTAGTTTAAGTACCTACTTCAATTTAATATGTAATGTACGGTTTTATACAAATACAATTGTTTGAATTTTTAATAAATGTAAAAAAAAACTTAAATAACTGCCTAAAAATAATACATATCAATTTAAAATTGGTCTTAATAGATTTGTATAAAAAACACGTTGAAAGATTATTAAATAACTTCTTGATCAGCATTGTACGTGTTATTAAATTTACGGAAAGTAAATAAAAGAAACGTCTTATAACACTTAAAACATATATTTACGCTTATACTGTTATTCACAAGACGGTAAATATAAAAAAAGATGGTAAGTGGTGATCGATTTCGATTGGACACTCCAATCATCATCAGACCCAAAATTAATGATTGAATGACGGTGAAAGATTATTCACACCACCTTAAAAGTTGAAATGTTTGCTTAGTAACCTGTGTTATTATGTTATAGTGTAAAACTTAATCCATCCCCTTTTAGCGAACATCCCACATAGGAGATAAGCTAATACCGAAGGTCTTATGGTAAAACATAGACCCGAAACCGATTTACCTTTTCATTTCGATGCCCCCAGAAGCCTAAAGCACCATCCACTCAAAATATTATATATGTGTTTATTATCATATATATAATGTAATATATCCATGTTATATACGTGTCCGTAAACATGATAACTCGAGTAATTTTGGTTCAATTTTAACGAAACCGTCATAATCGGTCCATGGAACAGGGTTTTATGTGGTAAAAATTTGTAATCTTTGACCCTCAAAAGACAAAGTTTTCCAATTTTTCTCTAGAGCATTTTAAAGAGCTTAAAGAAAACAAATAATTTAGTATATTAACGTGTTTTGTAAGTATATTAGTTACGAATAAAATTCAAAAATTGTAAATTTAAAATTCCATGTTATTCTTAAGGAGAATATAGTGTAAAATGATTTTGTTTGTTTGTTAATAGATATATTTTGAACAAACTTGTCAAATTTATTTGTTTTATACTAGGCTATTAATATTTTACTATAAACACACTTTATTAGCCTCCTTGTAGCAGCAAACCTAAGTATTCATTAAACTCAATGCAATTTTAGATTTAATTGAAAATCGGGCAAATGAAAATTCACTTAGTCTGCAGGTTTGCTGTGACGGGGGTATTAAATATTTTCTCTTACATCTTGTGATCCTTCCCTCTTATATAGTAAAGAATTACAGTTATCCCCTTTTATATAGAGCATGGAGGTAACTAATTTTATTACTTTATGAATAAATGTTTAAATATCGTAAAAAGTAATAATATTTCGAAACACCCTGTATGGTGTGGTTTAATACACTTAAAACTACTCCCAATCGATTTAAAATAACTAAAACCATCGAAAACCACACCTCACTCGACCTTAAACGTAAAAACAAAATTATTCAGGAACAAGGGCCCTTCGGAACAAAAAGGGCCCCAAAAAGGGCCTTAGGACGCCCAAAATTTTGGGGACTCATCGGATCTTCATTTCTCATATTATTAGTAACTCACAGGTGAAATTTCATGAATGTACAAATTTTGTTGTTTATAAACCCCTATTTTACCTGTACTATTTATGTTTATTATACAAATAACATGGGCTTGTTAAGAACAACAATAAAATGAGTTTAAACTAAAACAGCTGTGTTTGTAGCATTATGACGATGTGTTTTTAACTGCCAGGTTGTTCTTCATGCTTCAGAAGATGTACCATTTTTAAACCACCCTCAACAAGAGCAGGAGATTATCCCTTGGGGAAATATCTTTGACATGAGGTTTCAGGTGCTTCGCCCTTTTTCTCTTATTAGATTAGAATTTCATAGAATATCTAACCAAAGTCACCATGATTCAATAAATGGCATCATACATTTAAAGATTTAAAGGTTAAAGGCTGGGGGTTTGAAGGTTTTTATTTGATAATGTTGCTGAACGAATGATTTTCAAGTGATAAAAATCATTTCAGTCCGTCACATTAAAATAAAAAATTTCATTAGCTTTGTAGCTAGGAACTTGTGCTTGTCACAAATAAATTAAAAGTTCATATTTTTCCTTACATTTTTCTAAACGTGAACTCAACAATAGGAGTCTTTAAGTCACTAGTCAATAAGATAACAGTATGACAATAGACAAATTAATGTCTGAATTCTTGTAAGTAATGAGGATGGTGCTGAAACTAGTTGTTAAATACAATTTGAAGGATTTCTATAAGCAGACAAGATATTTACACGATTTTCAATATATTGTTAATTTGTAGGTTATAACACCATAATGAATTAACCAAATTAATTTAATTACAAGGTCAAATAAGAAGACTGTCAAATATTTTCCTACAAGATATAACAGCCTTGTTCTGGCCGACATTTTCGATTATTTGCAGCAATCCATCCTTGGAGCAAACTGCAATTCAACAGACTATATTGTGTAGCTTGCCTTAAAGTGGATAGAGTTTGATACAGTAAATTTATTTATTTATTATTTCAGGTCAAAGAGATCAAAAATGATCCATACGTGAAGAAAGTTTCAATCAGTCAAAGGAACTGTCGGTTCCCTGATGAAAACTACCTTCAGACTTACAGCTTGTACAGCTACTCTGCATGTGTCGTAGACTGTCGGGCTCAGGCCCAGATACAATACTGCAACTGCTTGCATCACTTTATGCCGAAAATTGGTAAATCTAGGCTACCCGCATTTTGCGTGAAAGCAACATAGAGCAGACGAGTGTGGTCACAACAGGAGGGTTTTTGGATATATCTGTAGATTTCAGGTTTTGGTTGACAGTTTTCATGCGGTGAAATGTCACAGATTTTATATTTAAAACTGGCAATCCAGTAAGCAAGTCAGGATACACAGCTTTTATTGGCCAAAAAAATCGTATAGACCAACTGTCGCCAACTATTAAAGAGAACATCGTGTGAGCCAGTCACAGAGTGCACCAGTGTCTACAATTTTCTACCTTATTTTTTTGTATTTTTGCTGCCCAACTTGATGGGTCATAACAGTTAGTTGCTATTGCTCACAATAAGCACAGCAAAATAAGGTACAGAAGAAACATTATAATGGTGCATTTAAGTGGCGTCTAGCAATAGTACTGCTTGTACTAGGGCTGAAGTATCCCTTAAGTGTGTTTCCTCTGTATGCTACATTTTTTCTCTCTGAAAAAAGTCATTCCATTAGTTTGACTTGTTAAAAAAGTTTGAGTAGTCAACAGAAATCAGTATTTATGTGATATTCCCAGATTCAAGAACAAATAGTTAATTATGTTGTTTACCTTTTGATTGTCAGGTTCTTGCTGAATCAATAAGTTTAAGCTCTATGTACATTTCACCACTCATAAAATAGGATAGTGCGTTTTTAGTGACTAAGTGATATTGATGTGAGAAGAAATCAGAAACAGCTCCTGATGATGCCACACTTGTGGCGAAATGTACATAGAGCTTAAACTTATTTTCATCAAGAACCTGGCAATCAAAAGGTAAACAACATAAGAAATCAGTAATTTAAATCAGCACAATCTGTTGGTAGCTCACACCAACTATGACAGTTTTTATTAAAAAAGTGGCGCCAACTTCATCATTTATGGGGATGGAATGTCAAATTGTGTTAACAAAGATTTTATCTTCGGTTACTTCTTTATTTAATAACATCAATATTGCTAAGGTTTTTTTAGTGTAAACCCTAACCTTTTTTTAATGAACTTAACTATTTTATTAACTTCTACTATGTCTATCCATAATCAAGATTATAACTAAGAAATGGTTGTGTTTTATTTGCAGCTGGTGTAGCCACATGCAACTTGACTGGGTTGATATGCCTCTCCAATGTTTCAGGTTAGTTTCTAACTCAACATCAAGTTAACTTCAGAAAAAATATCTTACACTACTCTTATCAGCATACTAAGTCTCAGTTTTGCAAAATACCTTTGTGTTTTTATCCAACAGGATAGGCAGGGGAAGAGTGAGCAGTATTGATAAAATCTGCCTCTTTTCTACTCAAAGCTACCTTTTTTCCTTAAAACATCTTAAATGTGGCAATAATGTTAAATTACATGATAAAAAATACATCTTAACTGAAATTGCTACTTATTACTTACTCACTACTTCATCTTTATTATTTTGAAACATACTCACACCTAGGTATGTTTGTAATTCTAGCTAGTGTAGCGGTCTGTGTTGCTTGGATACCACTGACTAAGATTTTATGGTTCTTTAACCAGGCCAGTTTATTGGCAACCCTATGACCAAAAACAGGTATTTACTCAGGGGAGGTATAGAAGAGGCTACGATGACAGCTGAGGGCTTCTTATTAGCTGAGGGAACGCCATTACCGTAAAAAAACGTTCGTTAGCCATCGGCCTCGGTGGTCTAATGGTTAGCGTGCCGGGCTGATATACTGTAGGTCCCGGGTTCGAATCCCGCTGGTAGCATTGACTTTTTGCCCAAGATTTTTTTATTATCAGCAAGTTTGGTTGGTTTGGTTATTACAGTTTAATTTTATTATTAAGTCATTATAACATTTTAATTGAGCAATTTCTAGTTTTATTTAATAAACAGAATTATTTTTCCGATTACTAAACTGTTGTTATATTATTTCTTTATCAGCAAGTTTGGTTAGTTCGGTTAGGTTATTATAGTTTAATTTTATAATTAAAAAATAGTAAAATTGAATTTGAGGCATTTATAATTTTATTTTATGAACAGAACTATTTTTGAGATTAGTAAACCTTTATTGCCAAAGTGCTCTCTACTACAGCGCTGTTCACGGAGGAATTTTGAACTAAATGCCTCATTTGTACCTCCCCTAAGTCAGACCCCCAAAAACAGGATTCGGATTTAAACCTGTCTAAAAGGTAGAAATGTTACTGATTATTCTTAGACTTCTGTTACTCTAATCATGAATATTATAGCTGGGTTTTATTGGTTCATAATTTTTCAGACACACTAAGATCTTTAAGAACTGCAGATTACACAGAAAAGCTTGGACTTGTGTGTGATTGTCTCCCCAGTTGTAATGAGCCTGAGTACACGATCGTCTCTAGGACCACTGGCTTGTGAGTTACTATATTCTATTGATCATCTTACTTTTGGTAAACACACAGAAAGGGCCACTGAAAATTGCTATGGCTTGTTTTCGAAAGTAAAGACAGCTTAAATGACAACACCTCCTGCTACCCCAGGCAATGGTGGCTCGGTGCCAGCAGCCGGCAGCTGACCTTTCCTCAAGTAGTAGCTGAACTGAGAACAATGTTGCCCTTTCAGCTCTCTTACTACAATTAAAGTCAACGGTTTTTCTCAAGGTCGAGACTTTGGAATAATTCAAGACTAGTGTACCTGTTGCTCGAATTCGAGCAATTGCGAAGCATTACAGGCGACTCACGAAGATTATGGAAATACTCACGATCTACACAACAGTTAGATATAATCAAAATCTTTTGTAAATATCTTATCTTTTCTCAAAAAGCTGATCTTGTTTTTTAGTGTTTCTACAAATTTTTCCCTCTCATAGCCGCATTTGGTTGTCTATAATAACAATTAAAAATGAAAAAAAAAACATTATTTCTTTTCTTCTACTTGGTTGTGTTCTATGACTTTTTCTATGTTTCCATTGTTTGCAAATCGGTTATTTCAATGATTGCTCAAGAAATGTAGCATGTTGTTAATTCAGTTTTATTTTTAGCCTATATCAAATTGTCCAGGATTTCTCGCTTTTTTTCATTGTAATAATTTTACCAACCCAAGTTTCGTCTACAGATGCAATACGCCAAAGAATATCAAGAGTTACTGTAATATTAGGATTTTCCACTGATTTGGTAATAGAACATTATATTGCAAAACATGACACGATGCAGAAGAAAATCCAATTTAAAATCAGAAAAACCCATTGCAAATACTGTAGGCTACTTCATTTTGACAAATTCAATAAATCACAATTTAAATATTAACAGCTGTTTCATTAAAAAGTAGGGTAGAATTATGCATATGGTCGTAATGTAAACAAATCTGAAGAGGCAACTTTAAAGGCTTCTGGGGCAGAGCCCCATGGGAATTTACCTCGTTCCTCTTTTGATGGCTCATCTACAGACCAAGACCTTTCTTTAGAGACCCCTACCAAGTTTCTACGCCCAGCCGTTCTCTCAAATTAGCTGTGACAAAAACCCCGTTTTCCTCCATAAGAATAACATGGGATGGGAATTTAAAGGCCACTGGGGCAGAGCCCCAAGGGAATTCACCATGTTTCTCTTTTGATGGCTCATCTACAGACCAAGACCATTCTTTAGACACCTTTACCGAGTTTCTACACCCAGCCGTTCTCTCAAAATAGCTATGACAAAGAAAAACAGTTTCAAATTAATATATAGATACAATCATACAATGTACCTCGTACTTTGAACACATTATATTCAAACTTTTTTTATATATTTTTAGAAATGAAGAGTACAATGAAACAATATATGGAAGATTTGGCTCCAAAATTTCAATTGAGATGGACTCATTACCAAAAGAGCAATTCATCAGAAAAGTTGTTCGATCTCCACTAGAACTTGTAGGTAAGTTGTCTAGTTGTAACTGACAGTGGTTTGCAAAATACAACTAATTATTTCAACCCAACATTATAAAAACTACACATCATTCCAACCGGACATCATCAAGTCATAATACAATATTCCAACCGGACATGATAAAGTCATAACACATCATTCCAACCCATTTTGTTGAATGATCTTTTTAAAATTCTCATTTCCCTCGGTTTCTCTAAGTTCCAATGTGATTCTTAGAGATTTATAACTACCTGATGATGTAAGCAAGTAGTTAATTCTTAAAATTGGTTGGCATTATTTTGCAGAGGTGTTTTGTTTCTAGATGCATTATGGATCTTTATAATGTACTAGCAGAGTACCCGTCCTTCGTACGGGGTTGGAATATAAGTATTAAATGCTTATTGCAGTTATACTCAAGCTTTGCGTTTGCAATAAGGGAGGACACAGTTTGATAAAATTTGCTTTTTTAAATTTACAGTATTTTATAGTATTACACATCTACCATAGCCATAATGTTCTACCACTTCACCTAAACAATAGAGACAAATAAATTATGAACAATTCGCAAAATATCACTTATTATTCATGAAATGAAAAACATAGACATAACTGCACGATCGTTCCTGTCAATGATATTGCAAATTAAACTTGTGACTTTGTTTGTGAAACTAGTTCAAATGTGATGTTTTACTTGGTTATTTCAATCATACTGACTTTTCCAGTTTCTATGGGAGGAACAATAGGATTTTTTCTTGGAGCAAGTCTTCTGAGCATTGCAGAGTTCTTTTACTACTTCTTTATAAGGAAGCTGGTCGATCGAAAAAGGTCATCAGTCTTAAGCCATAAACCAGAACTTACCATCAAGACAAACAAAACTATGAAAAACAAGAAATCTAAAAACATCAAACAAGAAAGAATGGCAATTCCATACATAAACTGAACTGGAGGAACTACTGATTTGAAAGCCCCGTGATAGTTGGATACAATTTCTATGAATAAAAATAAATTGTCGATTAGTCATGATGGCTGACTAGTATTTAGATAGACATCTCATCTAATTAGGTACTGTACTTATTTTATATCCCATAAAAACAATATCAATTCATGATGGTCCTAGAACGTATCTTTAATATTTGATTGCCAGTACATCCATCCAGTATTTTTATTATGTAATTTCTTTATGTTTTAAGGTAATAATCTGAGCATACAATTGACTTTTAAATACCGGTATGGATATCCCATCATTATGAACCTTGTCAGCCAATTTCTTCATTAGATAGAAGCCAGTTTAACAAAGTCGATCTTAGAGTGTGCTACAGGCAAAATTAGATTTTTTTGTTATTTTTTAAAACTTTTTAATAAAGAGGAATTAACTAATTACAACACAAGTCACCAAAAGCAAATTTAATAGATGTTATCATTCAATATGAACGTAACTTACAGCTAATCTATTTACAATGGTTGTATTATTACAACATGCAACCCATTGATTATTTTGTTGAAGAGATGGGTTCTGGTGAAATCTGTAAGGCGCTGAACAAATTGTGTATATTCGTACTTGGTACAACTTTGTAGGACTTACGCTTCGGCTGTTACCATTTTCACCTACTCACTGACTGTTAGTTTGCAGGGGGGTCCTCATATTATGGCAGCAAAAACACATTTCACTCCACTTATTGTTGAAGGAGATCGTGAAAACGGAAAAATTGAGAATACAATGGATAATAACAGTTTTAGACATAAAACCAAAGCTAGACATATTTGAAATTTTTGTATAAAAAAAATAAACGGAAACCCCCCCTTAACCAACAATCTAAAGTTTTTGGTACAGACAAGTTTAAAGTCTTCAACGAGTATTTTAAGTGAAAATCAACTAAATTATTCAATCGAAAGAAAAGCAAAATCATAAATTAAGGTTTTATTAGAAAATCAATATTGGAGGAGGGGTTTCAGTTAAATACATGCTACGCCAACCCGTTGTAAACAACTTGTGGAATACACCCAGCCGCTACACAGCATACCTAGAATCACCGAAATCGATAACAGTAAACCTTCTGGAGTTTTTGCCTACCCTAAATGAAAGGACCCCTCCGCAAACCAACAGTCAGTGAAAAGTTGAAAATGGCGACACCTGAAACACGTGTCCTAAAAAGTTGTACTAAGTGCTTGCAGACAGAAGAATCAAGTGCAAATATATGTCATTGGTTTTTTTTATTTCAATATTTTCAACATCATTTTTTTACCAATGGCATTACCAAGGACCAAACTCTCTTAAATTTGGTAAACATAAAACGTTTTAGATTGGTTATTTTCACTTTACCAACACATTTAGACTCAATTACAACAAATGTCCCAATAATTAAACAAATTACCGTGGAGAAAATTCAACAGTCATATATGTAATATGTTAAAAATATACAAGACACAATTCTTAACCTTTTTAACTCTTTCAAATATTAATTTTAATATTTCAGAAGGTTTTTGAAACTGCTATACTGTATTATCAAATCACTTAAATATTTTCAAATGGCCTCTCACTTCTTTGTATTCTACATATAAAATATAATAGGCCTACATAGTCAGGAGTTACTTCAACCACAGACTCCTCACTCCTTTATTGAGCCATAATAAAAATAACACATATGGCCATTAAAAAAGTATGTTTTATACTGAAAGTATGCTACCTTAAACATTTGTGAGCACACTCTTTTCAACTAAACTGAACACCTCATGATTTTTGTATTCATATTTTTCAGTTAACAAGCTCAAGATTTTTACATTTAATTTATTTGTTATAACCTGTATCAAAAGTGTTATTCTGTCTTAAGGCTGCTGGTAGTTATCATAATAAACTCTTGATTGAAAAGAATATGAATACTGTAATAATTAGGTACCGGTACCTATAATTACAGTACCGGTACCGGTACCTAATTATTACACAACAACCAATAGTCAAAGTTTCTTAACAGTTGGGCTATGAGGTGTAAAGTTAGCACAACCCAAAAACAGATCACAAAAGCTGTTCATGAAATGGAATAGAAATTTAAAATGTAATAAACTGTTTTCTTTGTTTTTTTTCACACTATTTACTAGTGACAAAGAAAAAGAGTCCATAAATTTAAACAGATTAAACACTCCAATTTACTCATAATTTTTAGTTGCCAATGTGCAATAATACCCTTTCCTCCATCTATCTCCGTGTTTCCTTCATCTGAATGTCCTCCATGCTCGGTCTAGCCAGGGTGAAGTCGAGCATTTCATCAGGAGGAAGGAACTGTATGTCAAGTTCATCATCCTCCATCCTCCGTCGGTTGATCCTTCTCCTTCGTACCACACAGACTGTCGCTAGAGCCATGATCAGGATCACCAATACTCCTGACACCAACACAATGATGTGAACCATCTGACTGGTTGGGCTGGAGGAAACTGCGTACCCGGCATGAACTGGCTCTTCCTCTGGAACATGAGTTGAAACGGTAACAACTTTAGAGAAAAGATGGGTAATCTTAGGATATGGTTGTAATGATAGGAACAAAAAGAAAAAGGCAGAGATAGCTGATCATAACAGGAGGGAGATGAACTCCACAATAAGAATGGTAGCAGAAAATAATCCAAAAGGAATAATTTATTATTATAACAGTACGTTTAGTCAGTGACACTAACCTAGGTGCTTATTTTAAGCTAAATATGAATCACTTTACTAAGACAGCGACTTTACTTGTATACACATTTTCCATTGAAACCATTAACTTTTTTACGTTTCCTAACCATGAACAAAGATTTTGCATCAAATTGAAAACGGAGTATAAAACCCACAATGTAACTATAAAATATAAAATAGCAATAATTGTGCACTCAGCCAAAGATATCTCTTTGCACTGAAACTGAGACAAGAGAAGTAGCATTAAGATACCATGCAGGTATGAGAAGTTTACAAAGTAAGTGGTGTGATGTGCACTAAAACAAAACAGTACAGCGCAATCTCGATAGTCCGACATTTGTCAGACCGAAACGTAGCTGCCGTATCTCCCTTGAGTGCAAGAGAGGAAAAGCGAAAATGTACGAGTAAAAAAAACAGTAAAGATGCATTACAATTACAAAAAATAATTTTAGTGGACATTGTGGTCATATCAAAGGTTGATATTTCTCTGCTCATTAAGAACTCCAACATTTAATAAAGATGCCCTAATTAATGCAGCCTATGCAAGGGATCACGGGCGTTCCCAGGGAGTGGGGTCAAGGGAGTCGTGACCCCCCCAAAAATTAATCTACTTTTTAACTATTTTCATAGATATACTGATGTATCTCTCAAACACAGAGATGTACATTGCACAGTGTAGAGTCATACTAAACTACATGTTGTTAATAGTACTCATCTGTTCACAATGAGGGCCAAACAACACAGAAGTTTGGATAGCCAGATATCAGATAATTGAAACTCTGCTGTATCAAAGGGGTTGAAGTATCTCTTTTGAATTAATGATCGTCCTACACATTTCTGACTTAGACTTACCCTAAAATAAGACACTGCTTACTTGAAGTTAATCTCTTACCTCTTGGTTTATATTTTGATTTCCACCTGGGAGATGCAGATGATGTTGAATCAGTTGGAGGATGATTCAGAGTTGTGTTATGTAGAGCTGTTGTCAGGTGTGAAGTTGTGTTAGGCAGAGCTGTTGTCGGGTAAGAAACAGAAGTTGTTTTGTTGGCCAAATTTGTAGGTTTTGGACCTAGAGGGGGCAACTTTGGCATTTTAGGTGGCTCTCGCACCCAAACTGGATGCAAAACATCATTTTTAGATTTGGGGACTTTTTCTGTTCGGTTAAAAAACCTCTTAGGACTTTGAGTGGTAACAAGAGTTGAAGTGGGGATTGTAGTATTTCTTACATACTTTGTGAAAGGCCCAATGGTTTTTGGATTTCTAAACACAATAGGTGGAGGGAGGGTAACAAATTCAATTTTAGGTTTTAATGTTATCTGCGGTGTTTTGGCCTGACTTTTAGTTGACTTAGTAAATTGAACTGAACTTTTTGTTGTAAATCCAATTGAACTCATTTTTGCATTTGTTGATTTTGTCATATTGGGCAGCAAAGAAAATGTTGTTGATACTCTGGAAGTAGTATTCAGCTTTGCTTCAGTTTGGCTTGTAACTGGTAAATTGATAGTGGTTGGTAAGACAATTATTGGAGGCTTAGCAACTGTTGTGAATGGGCTTTTTGTTGATGGTGTTATGTTAAAAGAAGCTGATTCATTTTGGTGTGTTTCAGAAGTAACTTTAGAAATTAGTGGTTTATATGAAGTTGGATAATCAGGAATGGAAGTGGCGGAATTGTTCTTAGTTGTAGTAGGTAAGTTAGGCGTGGTTGTATGCATAACGATGGAGGTTTCAATTTTGGAATTAGTCTTGATTGCTTCAGTGGATATGTTAGGTTGTACCTTGGTTATTTCACTCTCAGTTGTTACATCTGGGGTACCTGGAAATCAATAGAAAAACAAATTATTTACGTATAAGCTAGTTTATTTGCAATGTCTAAATATGTAAATTTTATGTAAAGCAGACACTATAGTCTGTTCACAAATTTTAGTCAGTTTAAGGGGACGGTTTCCTAGGTTCCCTGACCACTTTTTTAGATGGATCTATACATCAGCTGATCAGCTGTCAGCTGTTGTTTCAAAGTTAGGGTGAGGTAATGGGGATGAAATCTCTTCCCCTCAAACTGTGTAAATGTTTTGAAAGGAGTATAGGCCTAACAGAAAATATTATCTTATATAAATTCTGTTTTTAGGTTATAAATATTGTGGTAATAGTAGTTCTGAAGCGCTGGTGTACTAGGGAAAATACTTAAATAAAGGTACTTTTACATACTCAAAAAGGAACAATTATTATTAAAGAGTATAGCAAAATACGATTCATTTTTTAAATACATAATTTGCAGTTTTGAGAGTCATTATTGCGAACCGCCCAAACTTACGGAGGCAATTTTCCTGGGAATATTTTTTAGTCTTTCTGATACCAATCATTTGGAGTGTAGTAAATCATCCTCGCAATCGGAACACAGTTAGCAAGTTTTATTTCCAGTGCAATCATGGTAGTCTTACCTACTGCAAACTTGTGCACATAGTCACGACAGCAAGTGTTGTTGCCAAAGCAATCATGGTAGTCTTACCTGCTGCACACTTGTGCACATAGTCACGACAGCAAGTGTTGTTGCCAATGCAATCATGGTAGTCTTACCTGCTGCACACTTGTGCACATAGTCAGGACAGCAAGTGTTGTTGCTGATGCAGTCTTGTGTGCACTCACACATTGAAGGCTCTCTTGCAGCTAGAAAGCAGCGACCTTCACAGCTGCTGTGGACATCTTCAGTAGTAGTCTCAGTATCACCAGCTGAAATGTGAATGGGCTTGACAAACACACAAGTGTAATAAGAAGTGTACGTTCACTACATTTTTATTAATGAAGTTCCTTAATCAAATTACTAGTTAGATTGATCCAAATTTTTATAGTTTTGAAGCTGAACAGCTTGTCACCACAGACCTACTGGCCTGAGAGTATTACGGATTTAGTCACAGGGGCAAGCCAGTGGCTATTGCAATAATAAGATATAAAAGGTAACTTGGAAACTAGTAATGTCTGGCTTCAGCCGAAGACCAGTGGCTTAAATAAAACCCCCGCAACCCTGGCAGCACGGGTAGGGCACCGACGTCAAGGGGGGGAAGCGCCGATGGTCCGACTGTTACCGCTCATCGCAATTGTGAAAAGTAACGTCTTTTCCGTGACCGCGGGACACAATGATTATGCCTTCAAGTAAGAAGATATTCATAATTTTGTCGCAATCATGGAAAAATATGTTGTTAATTCCATGACCGCGGGAGACAAAGATGATTTCTACAAGACCGAAGAATATATCTATGATTTTGCCACTAACCCGGGAAAAAAGATTTTGTTTCTATGACCGTGGGAGACCAAGATGTTATCTTCAAGACCGAAGAAGATATTCATGATTTTGTCGCAGTCGCAGAAAAAAGATTAATTTGTTTCGGTGACAGCGGGAGACCAAGAAGTTATCTTCAAGACCGTAGAAGATAAGCTACGTTTCCATTCCTACAAATTTGTGCAGGGCACATGTGCTGAATTTGTAGGAATGGAAACAGCCTGGCACAAGTGCCCGGCACAAATTTGTGCCCGGCGACTGTGCGACAAAACATGTGCCAGCGACTCAGGCACATGTGTCCAGTTGGAATAGTAACGGCCTGGCACATGTGCCTGCAACTCGCGCATGCGCAGATCCTCCGAACTACCACATGCTCATAGATGACAGGTAATTATAACTTCAAATTTCGTTGAGTTCGTTGGAGGAAATTTTTGAAGCCACTTTGTACGCGCCAATCTCTCATCAATTAATTAAATGCTCCTTCCAATGGTCAATTATCGATTATCAATTATTTCAGATGGGCCGCCACTAAGTGCTGATTTTAACCCAAAGGTCGTTTTCCTATTAGCGAATTTCCCTATAGGGAAGTAGCTATTACCGTAGGTCTCATGGTAAGACTTAGGCCCGGGACCGATTTACTTTTTCATTTTGATGTCCCCAGAGGCCAAAAACACCATTCGTTCAAATTTTTATATATGTATATATATATATTATATATGTATATATATATATATATATATATAGATATATCTAATATATAGATTTATATATATATGTGTCCGTGAACACGATAACTTGAGTAATTTTTATCCGATTTTGATGAAATTTGGTTTGAAGGTGTAAGGCCGGATAAACTTGAATGAGTTCGCGATCCAGCATGATCGGACCATGGGAACAGGATTTTATGGGGGGTTTTATGGGGTAAAAATTGGTTTTTCTCACTTTTGACCCTCAAAACACAAAATTTTCAAATTTTTCTCTAAACCTTCTTAAAGAGCTTAAAAAAACAAACAATTCAGTATATCAAAGTGTTTTTGTACGGTTATTGGTTACAGAGAAAACTAAAAAAAATTTAAATTTAAAATTCCCATGTTATTCTTATGGAGAATATTGTAAAATGTTGTAGTTTGCTTGTTTATGGATATCTTTTGATCAAACTTGGCAAATATATTAATTTTATACTAAGCAATAATTATTTTACTTAAAACACACACTTTATTAGTTTCCTTGTAGCAGCAAACCTAGGTACTCGTTAAACCTAATGTTATTTAAATAGATCAATTGAAAATCAATTCAGCCAAATGGAAATTCGCTTAGACGGCAGGTTTGCTGCGGCGGGGGTATTTTTCTTTTAAGTTCATTATATGCACCAGCCATAAATAAAAAAACAAGAGGATGTTATGTCATCCATGGCGATTTGTAGAACACAATATGATCAAAATCAGCCACCGCACCTCACCACACCACACCACACCACAATAAGAGAGCAAATACCTTGTCTGCCAGTTGTAGTCGCGGGACTTGTGCCTGGAATGGTAATGGCATGACAAACTACGTGCGACATGTGCCGCGACACGGTCTCGACATGTGCCGTGACTTGTGCCTGCGACTTGTAGGAATGGAAACGTAGTTTTATTCATGATTTTTCCACAGTCGCAGAAAAAATATGACTATGTTTCAGTGACTACGGGAAACGATGATCATGTCTACGCAGGATACATTCAAGGAACGCAGGAGATCTTCAACATTTGGACGCAATCACGAGAACCGATGACGATGTTTCCATGACTGAGGGAGGCGAATAAAAAACGTCTGCGAGTTTTTGGATTTCGCCGTGATCGCGGCTTTTACTGAGATTTTAACCGAATAAAACATAAGTGGTTTTATCGCATCCACATGTAGTGCGGGGGGCGCCGCTCAATGTACTTGCCACTGCCCAAGACATTATCATTGAGCAACCATTATCAGGATTTTTGAGGTTGTAGGTAATGTAGGGATTGTTCAAGATAATAATTGTTGAGCAAGTGCTTTACAACATAGGTATATTCAGCTCAAAAACATACATTACTCAAATCAAATAAATAGTGTCACCAAGAGCTAATAATCTTGGAACTTGCAATTTATAATAACATAATAATAAATCTTTACCAGTCATAACTTCATTCATTCATTTGCTTTACATTCAACACCAATGACAAAGTCAAAATTACCTGATATTAATTTATCTAGAATTACATCACTTCAAGTTCAAATAAATTGCATAGCTTTTTTATTTACACTGATTACCTATGCAATATTGTGTTGTTGTCCACATGGCTATGATGGAAAAGACATTCCTGACATGAGTCTCACTACCCGTGTTTTCATGTATATGCATAGAATGTATGCTGCAATTTAATTGAAGTTAAGTCTATATTGTAGCATTAGAGTAAATAACTAAAATAAATACAAAATCATACAGCATTTTCTCATATTTCTGCCCATAGTAAATAAACTACCCACACAACTCAACTACTGTAATAAGTACAGTAAGACTCCCATTACTAAGTACTGTGTTCGCTCATATCATTTCTATCGTTTGATAAAAATTACTGTTTTTGCTTTGATCATTTAACTTACCTGGTGTGATGTTTAATGACACGGCACATTCTGCTCCCTCTGCTAGTTTGACATCATCGATAGCAATGTCACCATCATAGCTAGCTCCTCTCACTCCTTCCATCACTATCTACAAATATACAATGTTGGACCATATCTCAGTCTACCACATATAATTTAAGTTCCTATTTTTCATTGTGATCAATGATCATAAACCCCTGTGGTATATTCAAAGATTTAAACTATCTATTTTTATTTTTTATATTTTAAGTGTTTAATTTTAAGTAGCCAATTGTACATACAACAAATCCACCCTCCCAAACAACTTCATCCAATTGTTTTAATAACGAAACATAAACAGAAAATCTAAACAAATGGAAAAAATTCCAATCACGTGTTTTATTTAGAGTGTGGTGTTAAAATAGAGAAGTTTGCACAATAAATATTTTTGGTTGAGTTTTTGACCACGGGGCAAACTCTAGTAGAAATAAATATATTGCTGTATCTATGAAAATATAAGGTATTGTAAATCCGAGAGACTTCATGATGAACAACAACTGCTTATCTAAATAGGCCTGGTAATAGAAAAAAATTGCAATCCCATATAAGGCACTACTGCTTAAAAAATTAATGATATTTTCACGACTGTGAAAGTTGGTTATGATATTACCTTGAACTCGACTTGATAAAAAATATCAGGCTGGCACACCTCTCGCTATAGTAAAATTTCCTTTGCCAATATTGTTATTGCCCTAATAATCTTCTTTTACATTTGATATGGTATTTATTTTTATGTTTAGATGGGCTTCCATTTAAATTGGGTGGTTATAATTTTTATTGCTGTTTTAAAAAACATTATTTCAAAAGACAGGGTGTAGTATAGTCCATGGCCCCCAATGAAACAGGATTTAAACCCCAAGTATACAATGCTATGGTCTTGGCCAAGGATGTTTGGTTGGTTCAGACCTGAGGGTCTACCTCACTAGTAAAGTAACACTGTTTCACCAAAAAACCAAGTAGTCATAATACCAATGTTATTCATTTTATATGAATACAGTTCTGTAACTCCTCTAAATTAAGGATACCTGTTTTAATGTTCTTTTAAGATTTTCTGCTCACCAATCAGAGTGATGCTCACAAACATTTACATATATATTTTTAGTTTAGAATTCAGTATAGAAATATGGCACTACTTAAACCTGAAATGGAGTTATTTAACAATTAAAAATGATGAAAAAGTATATGTCCTTAACAATAAAAATACCTGAAAACTGGAGGAGGTTTCAGGAAGAGGAATTACAGCTTGCAGCCATTGATTTCCTTGGTCTCCAGACTTGTTGAATAGCAGAACTGTGTCCTGCTTGTGAAGATAAACATTAAGAGTTCCTGAAAAATGTATTTATATGTTTAATTTGTATATATGTAAGTTATACTACACACTTTGGATACTGAAATAGACAATCAAACATAGACCGTTTTTTTGTGTGTTTTTTTATGGAAGAAAAACAAAAACATAATTGATTATCTCTTATGGAGTGTGCTACAAAGTTGAAGGTCTGCGGTTTTTCATACATGATAGTTGACAGTAACATAAAGGATGCTATTGTTTACATTAAGTTGCCTATGTATTTTAAGTGACAAAACTACACAAGACATTTCACTCCAATCAACACTCATATTAGAGTTAAAAAATACGCTCCATCTTAATTGATAATATGGTAATAATGGTATTGTTTTGTGAGTATAGCACTTTTAAAATTTAACTTAAATGAGAAAGAAATCTATCATACCAGATTGGAAGATTATTTATTCACCTGTTGAGCTGCCATACATGTGATACCAAAATATAAAGCATGCTCCAGGATCAGAGATAGCGTTGAACACAGGAGAAAACAACCTTGCAGTGTCATTCTGTAGTCGAGGACTTGACACTTCCAGGTACATGTAGTGGCCTGTCACACATTGCAGGAGTTAGTAAAGTATTTAAACTTAAGACCAATCATTCAGTTGTTGCATAAAAAATGAATTAATAGGTAACTTCTTATTTTAAAATATAATCATAGATATAATTTGCCATTGGGCTATTTACTTATTGCTATAAAAAAAAACGTTGACGTCAACTGTCTAACCATAGATCTACTATTCAATGTTTGGAATGTCCACTATCAAAGTAAAGCTAAAGAGAATAGTAAGTCTAGGCCAAATTTGTGATTTTTAGAAATAAGGGATAACAGCTTACATACTTTAGATTAGAGAGAGTTCAGGTAAGCCATATTACGTACGGAAGACCCAAAAACACAATATTTCCTTCAGTCTCCTGGGAGACTTTGTGTAGTCCCCCTTGGCCCTGAGGACAGAATATTGGGTAAGTCTATCTTCTGTGTGTAGAATGGCCTACTGTGACTTTCTTTAAGGTGAGCTATAACTCAACTGCTATCCCTTTATTCAAAGGACAAGAACATGATAGTTACCCATTTACAGAAACTATAAACATCTCAGTAACTAAATCGATTATTTGTTTAAGTATATTTACCATTCAAGCCAGGGCCCAGAGTGTGGTCAAAGGACGGCCCAGTGCCCACGTGACCAGAGGGTGTGGCAAAGTTGTGTCTTCTCCAGTCAAAGTCATGGTTTTGGTCGTGAGTCCAACCACACAAGTCCTCACTCTCAAAGTCACACCACTTCTGGGCTGTCACTTGATCCTCTGAACATGGAGTAACAATTGTTTATATGATTGTGTGTTCATATTTGTGTGAATCAAACACCTATCAAAGATAAGAGTTACAAAATGTGAGAATACAGGTTAACCTCACTAAGTGGTAGATGTGTTCTAACAAAGTACGGTGATATTTTCTAGAATATCAGGTACAGGATTTGAAACCAACAAAGATCAGTGTATTGGGTGTGCATTTTACAATATTTTCACTCCAGAGTAAGGCGGGACCAAACACACCAATAGCCACCACCCTCAGGTCTTGTTGTGTTCGCGAGCGTAGCACAGGTGGGGATGGCCCGGTCAGTAATAGTTCTGACTCTACTATCTCTGTGAAACATTTTTAATTGGAGAAAAGTAAAACTTTTATGATATAAATTAGTAATTACTAATAACTCCTTTGATTTTAAAGGTAGTAATTTTTAAATGAACAGCCAAATTTTTCTACATAGGATTTATGTCTTATTCAAGCCTAAAAGCTCACCGAGCCAGCATAGGCTACTGGGCTAGTTAACGAGTTGCAAGTAAAAAAACAAGTTTGTACCTTGAAAACATTATATAGGCTATACTTGACCCTTGTTGAGTTATCAAGTTGTACAAGCTATGAATTCCCAATTACCGCTTTCTGTTAAGTTATATTTTATTTCTCCACTAAAGGAACATTTTGCACAAAGGTGTCTTTATAAAGGTATCCAAGGTTGTTCATGATACCACTTTAACACGTTCGCGGCGGCATGGGAGCGATCGCTCCCATACGGAACCCTAATGCCATCCTTGGTGCGATCGCTCCCAAGCTGCATAGCAGTACGAAATGATTTATTTTTAAGCCAGGATTAGAGCTAGAAACTTGAAACCTCCCACAGCACTGCTCAATAGTATACTGTATTTTGATGTGGTGTAGGTTGGTAGTAATATTCCCCGTAAAATCCCCATCTTGCAATCTCAAAATCGACTTTTTGTCTCGTCTTTATCCCTCCATTTGGCAATATAATTCCAATGGGACCGGCTACGTTCCAAGCAGTGCTGCTATCTGTGGGTGTTTAGCGAACTACGTCGACTCTCGTTGTAAAGCAGGACATCCTCGCACGTTATTTGCTATTTGTCAGACCGAAATTTGAAAGCCAATCACACGCGGCAATCGGGTTTGTTCGACACTGAGGGCTGCGCCGCACTGGGGATACGCCCGCCATTTGACGTGCCACCGCGAACATGTTAATTTATTCGATGCTCCACAATTGGATTGACCACACTGTCAAAGCTGACTATTCCTCTAGTCTACTTCTATTTTACTACTCATTTTAGTTGGTAACTACGTATTCTAGTGTTAACTTGTGTGGTAGATGCTACAAACCTCTGCAGGTAGGTGCAGTGTCGTTCCACACGGCCCCGTTGCAGTAGATACTCTGAGAGCCAATGAGAGTGTAGCCGGGGTCGCAGTGCACAGTCAACAACGCCCCTCGGTATGTCTCTAGCACCTGACCATGAGGTACATCCACTGGCATACATCCACTGCCTGTGAGAGCACAAACCATAATACACATCCTTGAGTAATATGATTAGTCATTAATAGCTAATAACTAAAAGAAACTCAAAACAATCCCAAGTTTAATGATCCATTTATTTATAACCATTATCAACTGCCGATAGGTTTTGAATCAGTAGATAAAGCTCGATAACCTATTCAACCATCATCAATACAATTGCCAAACAAACAGGTATGAAGCAAATATAAACAATGTAAGGAGTGACAATGAGCGCGGGAGGTTTTAGATTTGTTGGGGACGCAAGGAAGAGAAACATTCCACCACAAGGTTATACACAAGGAGGGGGACACAATTATCTCTTGGGCCCAAAGCCCATTACATTTTAACCGTGGGTCTGCAATTAATTTCTTTTTACTTTACTTTCTGGCTGAATTGCAGCAAACCTCCACCTCAAATTTTAAGAGGCTTACGTTCTTCAGGGTAAACTATTATTGGAATTACATAACACTTTTTTGGTGTTTGTAAATTGAAAAACTGGTACATCTGTTGGTTACAGTTTTTGTAGATTGGGTTGTAGAAGCTCTAGTAGGAAAAGATAGAATTTTTTAAGCACAGGATGGAACAACCTTAATAAGAACATATAATATAGCAATGTACTTGACTTACTGATGCACACAGGTAGTGGAGTGTCCCATTTGCCACGGACACACGCAGAGTATTTGTCTCCCAGGACCTGATATCTACGCAGACACACGTACTTGGCCACTCGTCCTTTGCTGCGGAGTTGTACTCGCCCTCCCCTCAACACCCTCACTGGACACTTGAGACTGTCTCTCAATCCAAATATTACTGTAACGTAGACAGGCAAAATATATTTACGTCAACACAATTTCAGGTACCATACAGAGGATAAGAATTCAAATCAGTTTAAGAAAAACGAAATCAACTTTTAACCACAATTTGATTAATAAAGTCAAATAAATATCCGCTATTAATTATGTTTTAGATCAGTTTTTACTTTTCCTCCCTAAACATAGTACATGGAGAAAGTATAGTTTTTGTTAACATTTTTGAGTTTGGCTTTTGGGTGGAAAATATCATCCATCCCTTTAAGGCTTCCCTGAAACGTTAAAAATAAATATTTTGAAAATTGATAAACACTTGGAAATATACATAGATCAGTACCCACATACCCAATTTTATGAAAGTGTTATACAGAAATTTGGTATATTTTTTTAACTTTATCCTGCTCTGACCTACACTAAAGGTACACTCTTCTGCCAAAATAAGCTAAAGAATTTTAAAAGGTTTCTCAAAATGAAAATAACAAACTATTGATATTTAACCAACTGTTTGAATTTAAATAAAAGGAAATCCCATTTCACTGTATATTATCATTTTTATAGTTAGTTTATGTATTTTCAAAAATTCACAAATCTGTTACTCTTTAAATGGAAAAGTTAGTAAAATTCATCTGAGTTTAAATTTAATCATAAGTCAAATTATGTTTAACGTGTTTATCTATTATTGTTTAACTATTAGCATTGACTATTGGATACAGAAGCTATTAGGTATAGTATAAATAAACTTGTATTGTAGAACTTAATGAAATAATGTCCTTGGCCCTGATGGATTTCATTAATTGTTCTTGTTTGAAGTATAACTTATAGCCTGTGTGTTAAAGTAAAACATAATATGGTTATAGGTCTTGTCACTGTGTTACGATGTAATTCATTATTAATATACTTGTTAATCTTTGTCATTTGTCAATTCCATGTACGGTATGTTTCAATTTAAACTTTCAACCTGAAACGATTTAATTTTTTTTGTTTTAAAAATGGTGTACTTATTTTTAATTGTTATTAAGTAATTTGGTGTGAACATACACACTTTTTCCTTTTTTAAGAAGTATGAAAGCTAATATTACAATCGACTCAACATCATGAGAGGGGAAGACGAATAGTCAATGACGATAGTGAGATCAAAATGCTGTGCACAAGCCTTTTGAGGCTTATGCATCAAACTTTTTAAAATAGAATATTTATATTCTATACTGAATAAATAAATAAAATACAGCTTAAAGGAAATAATACTGAAGTTTTATAAAACTTATTTGTTAAAATATTTCAAGGATCTCTTTATTTCTCTGGGTGCGTCTCTACTTTTTTTATATTTATTTTACAGTAAGGTGTAAAATTAATATTGTTGGTTTCTTTTTTAATTGCAACTTATATCTCGTAAACATCACTTACCTTGGTTAATAGCTAGAAGGATGGTGAGCAGGACCAGATGTATAAACAACCACTCCATGATCTTAACAGGACACAAGCTAAAAGCCACAGGACATACTCCCCCACACTCTTATCTGCTTCCTCCCCACTGATAACACTGCAAAACTGCTTCCTCTCCATCACCTTCTAGGAAACTTACTCCCCAGTGTAAAAATAATTCTTGAATAGTTTGTGAGATAACAAAAACCGCTTTCTTTCATGTCAGCTTCTGGGAATCTTACTCTCAGGGGGATTTTCAGAGTAGAACCAATTCATGAATGCGTGAGATAGGACTAGGACTGATGGAAGGAAATCACTAGAATATAATACCTGGTTAGTTAATATGGTCGGAAATTTATGTTTAAAATGTGATATGGGTAGATGCGATATAAATAGGTGGTAGTCCTCAGTTTTGTTTGTGATTTTCAATAACCTCGTACAAAAGATTATTTTGATTTGAAATATTAGAACACTATATAGTTGTCCCACCTACACATGTGGACATTAGGCTATTGCCCGGAACCGTTTAACACATTAGCCCCACTTGAGCCAGGCCTACAAAGTCACAGCATTATTACTTCGCTCCAAACCCATTGGTGGTTGATTGTATTTGAACCTGAAACCTCAGGGAACAAAATCCTTCTTCTACCTTTAGACCAGCTTGCTCCCCACATACTAAACACTTACTATGGAAGATAAGCTGGATCTTTAGTTAGATTCAGTAAAATTCCAACTATAAAGAACAGACAAGGTCCGGTTTCAAACCATCAAAAAGGCTTCAAAAAATTCTTTTAAATCATTTAATATGGATAGATGTATTTACAAGCAAGATTAAATGTTCATAAATGGGTCACTCTCACAATTTTGCCTTTACTTCGTAGTTAAATTGATTTAATTTCTATTTCAACATTGTTTGCTCATAATCTTAAGTTATAAAAATAATATAACATCTTTGTATGTAAATGTATGAAAAACAATGTTTTTTTTTATTGATATGAATTTGCTTTGATAGCATGTAAAGTAGAGAGTTAGTAGGTACTCAATTGTGAGAGTCAATCAATTCTAAACAAGTGTCACATCAAGGTAAACAATAAATCAATTATTTTATCATACAAAAAATACCAAAATATAACATTCAACAAATAACTAAAAAATCTTCCTTGGGAAGTAACGAAAGTCAGGGGAATCTTCTTCTTCTTTGATTGGTGGTAAAAAACTGTTGTAACTGTCAAGATGTAGACCATCACCACAGCCATGAAACATTGTCTAAAGAAAGGAATGACAAAAGGAAAGTATTAATATACAGGCGATTTAAAAACCCCTTTATAGTAAATACCTCTACAGCAGCAAAACTGCTGGTAGTGAACTTCCATTTGCCTGGCTGGATTTTTACACAAATATTTCCTTAATTAAACATTTCAGATTCATTCCCTTTTATAAAATATAAATTACATAAAAATTGTAAACGTAGAGTTTTTAGAGTTTTCTTTGTAACCATTAAGTGCACATCACTTCAAAGTACTAAATTGTCAGCTATACAAAATAGTTGTAAAAAAATTGTGAAATGCTATGTTTTGAGGGTCATGGGGGAAAACAAATTTTCACCTCATTACACCCCTTATAAATAACCACTTTCATAGTCCAATCATGCTCATTCACAAACTCTTTTCAACAAACGTACGTTTACATATTTGTACGGAGCTTCACCAAAATCAGATGATTTTTAGCTTTTTAACATATTTATTTGTTCATTTTTGCAAGCCAATTGCTATTATAATGTTACTAAATTGTTATCAGTTTTTTATGGCACTGGTATTTTATTTATTCCTCATTCCATCTCAATCCCTGTAATATATATATAAGTTTTAAATGCATTATTAAACACTAGTACCCTTTAAATTAATTATATATATTAATCAACTACTAGTATCGACTCTAAGGTCATAATCAGGTTGTCATCTTAAACAAATACAATAACAATAATAAAGAAAGGAATAAATACAACCACATTACTGTATAAGATAACTTCGAGTTTAGAGAAAGGGTACTAGTGTTTAATAATGCATTTAATTATTATAATAGCCCTAATCACAATAATTTCAATAATATATATATATATATATTTACTTATCTCACACAGGTCTCTTCATAACATATGAGCAATTGTTTTTCCCTTGAAATATAGGCCTACAAGTGAATATGTTTAAAAATGTTATTCGATGAAAATCTGTTTTGTCATTTGCACTTTCTCCCCCTATTATGGCCTAATTATGGAGAAAGTACAGTATTGTTTTTGTCAAAATTTTAGTTTGAATTTTGGTTGTTTATATACGTTTTGGATCGCGTTGGACCCCAAAAAAGTGGTTGTAAACTGATGTCTGTGTGTGTGAATGTGTACAGAACTACAGATCACATCTGTTGTCTGACTTTGATGAAATTGGGTAGCCTATGTGGATCCTAATATATGGTACCTCCAAGAAGTCTTTTTGAACATTTTTATTTTTAATAGTGATTTTCCCATAAAAACAAAAAAAAATAACAAAGAAATTTGAATTTTCCAAAAAAAAAGGCTCTCACTGATTTGAAATATAGTTTAATCCTTTTTAACTCCAAACAAAATGGTATAACCCTCAATGCTGTAAATTTACAGCCGTCCAAAATTATTGCCACTTTTGCGATTTTTCCCATAATATACTCTAATCATAGTAACTCCTACAAACTAGCCATGATTTAGGTTGTTTCCAAGCTAATGGGAGAAGGTAAGTGTCAGATTGCTGATACTGTTTATTTAAATTGGATTACTTACCGGCTTTTCAACTAAGTCAAGAAAAGTGGAGGTGGGGGAAGGAGTCTTCATGAATGGCTCATGTAGGTATCTGCTGATTCTTGGTGCGTATGTTGAAGTCCTCTGAGGTTTCAGGTAGTTGACAACCGGTGGAGACAGCAGTGAAAGCGGTGGTTGGCGACACCTTTCACGTGGTTTTGGATTCTGGTTACGCAGTTGGTATCTCTGTGAGGACTGAGCCGGAAACTTCCCACTTCCAGTCGAGCTTGTTCCGATAGTTTCCTCCAAAAACTGCATGTTACTCTTGAAGTAAAACTTGGCAGGCGCAAGTTTAAATGGCAGTTCTGTAAAAATAAATTATTTTATTTGTACTACTTGTTAATTATTACATTGCTTTTTTAACTTTGAGCATTAGATATTCATTCAAAGGCTTATGTTTGATTATTACAGTATTTTCAGTTTCAATTGTGGGCATTGTGGCGAACAGTTATGTAGTCTCCAAATGCGTAAGTTAAGAAAAAAACATCTAATCTGCTGTTCGGTGTAGTGTTTAAGTAACACTCATCAGGTGAAGGTTATTAAACCAATCAATACGCCCAATAAGATTTCAGTAGTTTAGTAAGGGGAATTTGAATCCCATGTTTGGTAAACAAAATGTTTATATTACATCATTTTATTTAGTGTATTATAAGTTTATCAAATAGAACCAGTATAATATATCATTTAATTATTAAAATGGTATACAATTGTCTGATTCCATCTATGATCCTAAATGTTACAGTGAGCAGCTACCGGTCTCGAGTTTATAACCTCGTCTTCAGTCTCTTGATATCGCTCTTGAGAGCTCGTCGAGTTTTGAAAAACACACAAAGACATTAAACATTGTTTGTTCATTTAACACTTTCCGGGGGCTCTGACTTGAAAAGTGAATTTTAATGGCTTTGTAGATTTCAAACTCTTCAATGATATTTTAAAAACTTCCTTTTCTTGGGTACAGATGCAACACTTAAATTCTTCTAAAAACTTGTATAATTATGGTTTTCATGTATTAGATGGCTGGCAATGCTGATCTTGAATCAGATTTTTTTCACTGAATGGAATTTGTTCTTTATGTCTTTTATAAAATGAACGAGTTTTGTTTGGTCTAAATAATAGTTTCACAGTCATCGCACTGAGGCTTGTAAACCCCAGTTTTGTCCTTCTTTCTGGTTGTTTGTTATAAGTTATTTCCTCTAAATGAAACTGTGGCGTTATTTTTTACCATTTCCTTAACTGTAATGTATGATTGAGGACAAAGCGATAATGGGAAACAAGACCAAACAAGACTCGTTCATTTTATGTAAGATATAAAGAATACATTCCGTCCAGTAAAAAATCAGATTCAAAATAAGTATTCGCCAGCCATTTAATAAATCTAAACCATAATCATACGAGTTTTGAGAAGAATTTAAAAGTGTTGCATCTCTACTCAAGAAAATGAAGTTTTTTAAATAGTATTGAAGAGTTTGAAATCCATAAAGCCATCAAGTCAGAGCTCCAGAAAGTTTTGAATGAACAAACAATGTGTAATGTTTTATATTAATCGTTCTTCGATCTGTGTCGTTTATTTTTAAAATGTTTAATGTCTTTGTGTTTCAAAACTTGACAAGCTCACAAGATATTTAATTTAGCTTATTTATTTTTAGCCTGAAGATGAAGCTATAACCTTGAAACTGTTAGCTGTTCACTATAAAATTTAGGATCATAGACGGAATCAGGTAATATTTTATACCATGTTAATGATCAAGAAGTGATCCTGGGCCAAAGAACTTCAATATGAATTTAATTATTACACATTCAATCTCACTAATATCCTAAAAGTTACAGAATAAAATCTGTTTTCCTGTACGTTTTCCTTTGGATGTTAAGTTTATTGTAATGAATGACTTTTTATTGTGACCATTAAAAAAATACATATAAATATATTGTTGGTACAGTTAAAAGGTCAATGCTAATGTTAATAATAATTTTTACTGTCCAAAAGTATTAAAAGTATTTTGAAAAGAAAATTACTCTACTACAGATTTACTTTCACTGCAGAAAGGGTGGGTAAGAAATAATTGCTCTTCTGACATGGTACTGGTAACTCAACACACCTTTTTCCTGGTTGGATGATTGTGTTTTTACTGTAGGAGGAAACGGGGAAGTGCCCACACTACTTGTGGTTTTCTGAGATTCCTCTTTCATTCTGAAACCATTAAAAATGTAAAACAAAACAACTAACCAATTAACTGTTTGACTATTTCAGGAAAATTCTACTTTTACAGATATTTGATAATTTTGATCAAATATTCCCTCATAGTTATATCTAAAAAAAATAGTTACAGAAGTGTCAAGTCAAGCATTCAATTAAGATTATTTTGCATAATCTTTCAGTTATACCATTGACTG